GAGTTCTCAGTGGGCCAAGGTGGTCAGGAAAGGCCTCCCTGAAAGGTAAACAGTTAGTATCCCCATTTCACCAGTTAGGGTTCAAAGGAGTTACTTTCCTTGCCTGGCACAGTGACATTCCCCCCATCTGCCAAGATGTAGTTTGTCTGATTAAATTGAAAATATTATGAACTCCATCCAGAAGACTAATCAGATGGAGGTTGATTGGATCAGACAATATTTTCATGGAGTGGTCCTAGGGTCAGGATTGTCAGCATGGGAATAAAGATTTGGTTGTATAGTTCTCTGCTGTTTGCAAAGCACTCTTCATGTGCATTAAGTTTGGTTTATACACACAGCCTCATGTGATCAGCACCTGGGGAAACTGAGTCTCGGAGAAGTTCAGTACCTTTGCCACGCCGACAGAACGTGGTAAAATCCAGATGCTAGCAAGCACTTACTGCTGCAGATTCAGAGCTCTCTCCAATAGGAAAGGACATTTTTCTCTCTTTCTCCACCCTCCATGGAACACAGGAATGAAAAAAAAGGCTGGGAAGTCCACAATCACACAGGCTAGAAGGAATCCACACAAGTTCCAACTATAAGCTGCGGCCGCCTGACACAGCATCCTGGCACGGCCTCAGGAACTTCCCAGGTCAGCCCACATGCCCTGATGTTCCTGCATCTGCACAGAACTATAAATGTAAGAAGGCCAAGTATGCCAGCAGCAGGCTGATTGCTGCAATGTGTTCTCAGTCTTTATGCCTGAGAGCATGTCACTGACCCCCTCCTGGATCTAGAAGCCCAAGCTGAGGCTGAGAAGTTATTTGGGGGCAGGCTAGGGAGAGGGGTGATGTTAGGGAGGGAGTAGGTTGGATGTGTTTACAACTCATTTCCACTCTGACTATAGAGCAAAGGCCACTTGGGCTTGGATCCCCGTTGAAATAAATGTGCCAGTACTGGAAAATTCCCAAGATGCTAAAACTCAGACCCAGTTTCCAGAGGTAGAAGCGGGTACAGGACAGGTCATTCTCTGGGCAAGATACCTTCCCCAAGATACCTCTCTTAAGGTTCTGCTCTTAAGACAGGAAAACTGACCATGGAGATGTTTATTTCTTCCTTCCTTTTCCCCTTCCTTTTATCCTTCTGTATTTAACAAATACCTGAAAGTTGCCTATTCTACAGTGACCTAGGCCTTTCGAAGTACAGGTATAGACAACATTGGCCCCACCTTTAAGATGCTTGGATACAAGAAAAAAACAACCCCATTATAAAGTGGGCAAAGGACATGAACAGATACTTCTCAAAAGAAAACATTTGTGTGGTCAACAAACATATGAAAGAAAGGTCAACATCACTGATCATTACAGAAATGCAAATAAAAATCACAATAAGATACCATCTCATGCCAGTCAGAATGGTGATTATTAAGAAGCCAAGAAACAACAGGTGCTGTAAAGAATCTGGAGAAATAGGAACATTTTTACATAATTGGTGGAATGCAAATTAGTTCAACCATTGTGGAAGATACAGTGGCCATTCCTCAAAGACCTAGAACCAGAAAGACCATTTTACCCAGCAATCTCATGACTGGGTATATACCCAAAGGAATATAAATAATTCTATTGTAAAGATACCTGCACGTGTATGTTCACCATAGCACTATTCACGATAGCAAAGATATGGAATCGACCCATGGAATGCCCATCAATGATAGACTGGATAAAGAAAATATGGTATATATATGCCATGGAATACTATGCAGCCATAAAAAGGAACAAGATCATGTCCTTTGCAGGGACATGGATGGAGCTGGAAGCCATTATCCTCAGCAAACTAACACAGGAACAGAAAACCAAACACCACATGTTCTGACTTACAAGTGGGAGCTGAATGATGAGAACACAGACACAGGGAGGGGAACAACACACACTGGGGCCTGTCATGGGGGTGGAGGGAAGGAGAGCATCAGGAAAAATAGCTAATGTGTGCTGGGCTTAACACCTAGGTGATGGGTTGATAGGTGCAGCAAACCACCATGGCACACATTTACCTATGTAACAAACCCGTACATCCTGTACATGAACTCCAGAACTTAAAATAATAATAATAAAAAAAAGATGCCTGGATACTCAGACACATGAGGATATTTGTAAATCAGGAATTGCTGAATCTCTGTCTGTGATGGTTCATTTTATGTGTCAACTTGGCCGGGCCATGGTGCCCAGATATTTGGTCAAATATTCTGGGTGTTTCTGTGGGGGTGTTTTTGGATGAGATTAACATCTGGAGTAAAGATCACCCACCATAATGTTGGTAGGCTTATCCAATCAGTTGAAGGTCTATATGGAACAAAAGACTGACCTCCCTGAGCAAGGAGGAATTCCGCAGCAGAGGACCTTTGGACTTGACCTGCAAAATCAGCTCTTCCCTGGGTCTCCAGCCTGCCAGCTCACTCTGAAGATTTTGGACTTGCCAGCCTCCATAACACATGAACCAATTCCTTCTCTTTCTCTACATATATACATCCCAATGGTTCTGTTTCTTTGGAAGTTCTGTTCTTCTAATGTCATGTCTTTGGTCCATGCCTACAGCATCTCTTGCCTGGATCTGCAAGGCCTTCATAATGCCAGTATCTCCTTTCCCATCTTCCCTGTGGCTACCAGCATTCTGTCACCAAGTACAGATCTGAGTACGTTGTTTTGCTTGCAGTCCTTCCAGGTGCCCCACCTTCCCCATCAATGCGTTCTAACCTCAGTCATCTTTGCACTAGCACCTTTGCGATTTTTGTTATGTCAGACTTTCTCTTTGCTGACGTCAAAAGGAAAGAAACAGAACAGAGAACTGAATTTCCTCCCTATGTTATTCAGTATCACTGAATATTAAATTCACATTTAACACTATCAGAAAGTATTCTATCCCACATTTTGGGGAATGTTGGGTTACAGAATAAAACCCATTCTCCTTTACTTTACATGACCTCGAAGATCCTTTAGCATCAATAAGTACAGTTATCTCTTGGTATCCATGGGGGCTTGGTTCAAGATACACAAATCCCTGATACAAAATGAAGCAGTATTTGTATATAACCTGTGCATATCCTCTCACATACTTTAAGTCATCTCAAGATTACTTGTAATACCTAATGCAATGTCACTCATCACTGCATTTGTGTGCATTCAGTGTTGTAGGTGGCACACGGCAAATTCAATTTTTGCTTTTTGGAACTTTGAGGATTTTTTTCCTGAATATTTTCAATCCATGATTGTTTGAATCCACTGAACCCACAGGTACAGGGATATACAGGGCCAGCCGTATGTATTAAGTGTTGGCAATGTGCTAGGCACCAAGCAATTCATCTTTAGTCCTTCCTCCAAAACGCCAAAGTGATTCCCCTGTACCATTCTCTGAGAAGTATGCCTTTTTTCTTTGCTTCCTGGAGAGCTCATTCTGGAGCTCTGAAATCCAGCTACCTCTTTGTAAAATGGTCTCAAAGTATTACCTCAGCCCCCAGCAGTCCTCACTTCTGTAACAGCATTTATTGTTGTCACACTGCAAATATTAGGTTGATGCAAAACTAATTGCAGTTTTTGCCATTATTTTTAACAACAAAAACCACAATTACTTTTGCACCAACCTAATATGTGTTTTTCTCCTTGGCTGAAGCTCAAAGGTGAAGGAGCATATCTTATTCATTGTTAGGAGTTTTCAAGGGGACCTCTCTGTTTCCTGCCTGATTTCTGCACACAATGAGAAATAAAAGACAGGAAATGGGGATCACACTATTACGATCTTTTGTTGTTGTTGTTGTTCTTGTTTTTTAGATTAAGACTAAATTAGAGAATTTAGCTTTTGCGTGAGACTAAATAGCCCTGTTAGGTGAATCCAGAATTAGGCTGTCTCACCGGCTATGCAAGGACCACACAGGTAGGCAGGCTTCCCTACAAACGGTAGAAGAGTCTGTCCTTGGCGAAGTGGCTCCGTAAACTTGCTCCCTAGAAAGCAGCTGTCTTCCAGGAGAAAGAAGAGCAGGCTTGGTTCTACAGCCCAGTGTTTTCCTTCCCACATTTGCCAATCAGGGGCTCATAGGGAAACATCTCCCTTCATCCAGCCATGGAGTGAGGCAGGGGTGTTTTACCTGCTAGGATTAAACTCTTGGAGTGCACAGCCTATACAATTTCAGAAAACCAGAGGGACAGAACCTCAGACATTAGCTATCTTGACCAGTCCTCTCATTTTACATATGAGGAGACTGAGATCCAAAGAGAAGGGACTTGCCCAAGGTCACTTCATTCTCACCTGAGTGATCTGTAACTTTAATCTGTAATTTTCAAGGTAGATAGGTACTATTGAGTAATATTGATTAATATTGCCTGCCACCCCTTGGCAATGCTGCCAAAATTCCCAGCCCCATTCTGGAATGATTACTCAGCTAGAACCCTGGGATCCAGGTGCTGTAAGTTTGGCCCCTGGGATATCCTGGCATGGGCCTGTAATTGTGGATTAAGGAAACCCAGTCCTTGGCTAACTCAATTCTCTCCACATAATGAAAAGAGGGAGAAGTGAAATGTCAGGAGAAAATACACATTTAATGCATTTTAAGGAGCCTTGTTTACTTTTGAATCCTGGCCTTTTTTTCTGACTTAATTCTTGGCCACTGTAAATTACTTCAAAAAATGACTTGAGAATAGAGAAGGGGCAGGGAGGCTGAGAAGCTGTCTTTAACATTTTATCTTCCTTTGGCATGATTTAGGATTTTAATTCTGAAGCACGACAAGGAGGAAGAAACGGCTCTTGGCCGCAGACAAGCAGAATCACTTTAAATGAAGATAGAGTGTTGTGCTTCAGAATTTCCTCTAAAACTACCTAAAGAATAAAGCCTCTCCCAGCACTGCTTAGAATAGAGGCCATTTCTAATTCCTCATTAACGGGAATAGGAACAAAAGTATTCCAAAGCAAAGACTTACTTGAGTTCACTGCTAAAGCCACTACATCAAGCTGGAGGTGTGGGGGGAGAGAAAAGGCTGAAAATTAACATCATTTTTGGAAAACAATCACTTTAAATGCTTTTGTAACTTCATCACTATCTACCCGGGGAAAACATTATTATTCAAGCCTCCTATGTGTCTCAGAGTCAGGAGCTTCCAAACCAAGAAAGGAAGAAACGGGCGGGTTATTTACGAGTTCCCTCCCTCTCGCAGTTTTAAACCACTTCAAAATAAACCCGTTTGTTAAGTCTCGGGGACCAACGCTGGGCGAACCAGCCCCGCTCCGCAGGGGTCTGCGCGGCTGGCTTCGTCCGCCCCCTAGCGGACCCGTGCGATAGTACAGCCTCTGCCCCAGAGCACAGCGCGGCATCCAGACGCTGTCCGCGCGCTCATCCTCGGCGGCGCTGCTCGCTCACCTCCTGTACCCATCCAGCGACCAGCCAGGCTGCGGCGAGGGGATTACAACCGAGGCTCCAGAGTCAGAGATCTCAGCCTAGCATCACATTAGGTGCTGCCGGCAGGCCATCCCAACTCGGGCCGGGCGCAACTGTCCCTGGGGCCGTCAGTCGCCGTGCAACTTCCCTGGGGGGAGTCAACTTTAGGTTCACCTGCGGACTCGGTGCAGGTAGCTGGGTGCTAAGCAGGGATGGACGGGATGGCTAGGGCCGGTGGAGCCATCGGGACCCGAGTGGAGGTGGTGGGGTGCCTCACACTCCTTGTTCCTGGAGGAGCGCGGGGTGTTCCGAGAGATTGTAAAGTGACTTCTCGGGATTGAGACCCAGAGTCCTTGATTATCTGGGTCCAAAGCGCAGGCCGGGGGTTCCTGAACCTTCGAGGCTGCCGGGCTGGGGAGGAGCTCCGCGGGAGGTGTCTATGCCAGCATCTGGGAACAGCGCTTGGGCATCCCGGGTTTGAGGTAGGGGTTCCCCCAGGAGGGACTGCGGAACCGGGTTTCCACCGAAGCAGGTGCTGTGGAAGTTCAGGTAGTGACGGCCGAGCGTCTCAGAAAGTGGGTTTAGATGGGGATGGCCCTGAGCTGGGGTTTCCCAGGCAAGTGGCTATTTGGGGATTCCCGGAGGAAGTACTTGAATTAACGTTTACTGGGAGAGGGGCCGGTATGGGGGTCCCGCGGGAGGTGGATATGCTGAGGGTCGGAGCGTGGGGCGGGTAGGTAGTTTGGAGATCCCTCGGGGAGGTGGTTTGGTTTTAGATTCCCAGTCCCGGAGGAAAGTGGCCGATTTTGACCCTCCCTTCTCCCCCAGTGGAAGCTGCTGAACATCCCAAGGAACTGGCACGCTGGGGGCTCTGGGCTTGTGGCTGGTAGAGGATTCCCGCTCATTTGCAGTGGCTCAGAGGAGGGACCTCCAACGGGGATTTCTGGGGTGGCGGCTGAGGAACCCGAGGCCGGCGGTTGTGCCCCGTGTTTCAGATGACTTGGGTTCCTGGGAATGGAACAAACACGCCCTACCCGCGTCGGAAGAGAAACGCGGCGGTCTCCTCACGGCCCTCCCGGTTTGTTTCAGGGTGGACCCAGCAGATCCGTCCGTGGAGTCTCCAGGAGGAGCCCCAGGCGCCCGTACACCCTCCGACACGCCGGATCCGGCCCCGCCGCGCCAAGCCGTAAAGGGCTCGAAGGCCGGGGCGCACCGCGGCCGCCAGGGTCATGGAGGGCGAGCTCGCAGCCAACTGCAGCACTGAGGCAGTCAACTCCAGCGCCACGCCGCCGGGGGCCGAGGACAACTGCACCGCCGGACCCCCGCGGCGCAACGAGGCCCTGGCGCGCGTGGAGGTGGCGGTGCTCTGTCTCATCCTGTTTCTGGCGCTGAGCGGGAATGCATGTGTGCTGCTGGCGCTGCGCACCACGCGCCACAAGCACTCGCGCCTCTTCTTCTTCATGAAGCACCTGAGCATCGCCGACCTGGTGGTGGCAGTGTTCCAGGTGCTGCCGCAGTTGCTGTGGGACATCACCTTCCGCTTCTACGGGCCCGACCTGCTGTGCCGCCTGGTCAAGTACTTGCAGGTGGTGGGCATGTTCGCCTCCACCTACCTGCTGCTACTCATGTCCCTGGACCGCTGCCTGGCCATCTGCCAGCCGCTGCGCTCGCTGCGCCGCCGCACGGACCGCCTGGCAGTGCTCGCCACGTGGCTCGGCTGCCTGGTGGCCAGCGCGCCGCAGGTGCACATCTTCTCTCTGCAGGAGGTGGCTAACGGTGTCTTCGACTGCTGGGCCATCTTCATCCAGCCCTGGGGACCCAAGGCCTACATCACGTGGATCACACTAGCTGTCTACATCGTGCCGGTCATCGTACTCGCTGCCTGCTATGGCCTTATCAGCTTCAAGATCTGGCAGAATTTGCGGCTCAAGACCGCTGCAGCTGCGGCGGCAGAGGCGCCAGAGGGCGCGGCGGCTGGCGATGGGGGGCGCATGGCCCTGGCACGTGTCAGCAGCGTCAAGCTCATCTCCAAGGCCAAGATCCGCACGGTCAAGATGACTTTCATCATCGTGCTGGCCTTCATCGTGTGCTGGACGCCTTTCTTCTTCGTGCAGATGTGGAGCGTCTGGGATGCCAACGCCCCCAAGGAAGGTAGCCAGGGCTGGGAGACCCAGGAGGAGGGAGCCTGGTGGCTGGGGGACGCCCTTATCTTGCTGCCTCAGAATGTCCAGGGGTCTGTGAACTTCCTGGGGGGATAAGAGGGTTTGAAATCCCACAGAGTCACTGTTCCATCATCCCTTGGCCAAGTTACTTAGGGCAATTAACCTCCCTGAGGCTCCACTTTCTCATCTGTGAGGTAGCAATAAGGATAAAAGTACCAACTGTCACCGGGCATAGGGGCATGCCATGAGAAAATGCAGTTAAAATCTTTAGCACAGTCCTTGGGCTGCATATGGGCTGTATGGTTTACTGTGGTGGTGGAACAGGTTCAAGGGACTCCATCTGCTTTCCCACGTGGTTAGGAGGAGGTAGTTAGGAGGAGATGGCAGAGGTAAGTTTGGAACCCCTGGCCAGGCTCAAACTCCTTCAAGTTTAAGTTCACATTAAGCTGAACTTCCACTTTAAGTTCAAGAAATCCATTTGAAGCCAAGAAGTCTGGTTTGGACAAGGACAGCCTTCCAGGGGTGGGCGATTTGTCCAGCCAAGCCCCTGGTAGTTGAAGGGGGTGCTGGAGGGCAGAGGATTCCAAGGGAGAGGTGAAGACAAATCCCCGAACCCCTCATCCAGTGGAGGTGCTGAGTCTCCATGCAGAGAGGTGAGTACTGCAAGAAGCGGTGGGCAGGCTTAGGGAGGAGAGTGCCCAGGACTGAGACTTCACTTCTACTACTTGGGGGAAAGAGAAGAAAGCCTGGAGGGGGACATTCAAGTTTGAGGGGGAGGCTGGGTGATTTCTGTAGGCGGGGAATGTGCCTTCCAGGTTGGAGGACTGCTGAGGACAAGGCTGAGGGTGGGGCAATTGTCCATTCTTGGCCTGTGCCAGAAAGCTAGGAGGAGGGCGTAGAAGAGGGCGACCTAGGGAGAAAGCTTGGAGGAACAGAGGCACCCTAGGGCTCTGGGGTTTGTGACTGGTGCTGGGTGGCTGTCCCCAAGGCACAGAGCACCAGGCAGCTTCCTGTCACTCCCTACCCCACAACCCCTTTCCGGTAGCTCATGTGGAAAGAGCAGGAGGGGTGATTGCTGGTGGTGAATGATTTATAAGTTTTTGTTTGAAGGTAATTCCATAACGCGTGCTGGATGCTGGGGACTTCAAATGTTTGTAAAGAAAGACCAAAGGATTTGCTTTCACCCTTTTTGCACTCCAGACACTGCAAATGTCCCATTTCTGTGTGCATTCACCACTGCGCCCAATAGTTTCAAACACATGCACCTGGGAAGTTGAAATTTCAGTGCCAGCTGCTTTCATTCAGTTTGGTAACTTTGCTTTGGTCCTTTCTGGAAATCACAGACTCCAGGCTTTACGGAACCCTCCCAGTTAGCTCAGTGTTTGCTTTAGTGGCCAAGTCACTGGTTATTCAATATTTACTGAATGCGTGTGGCTCCTGGTCACACCTTATAGAGAGGGTTCTAGAGCCCAGAGAGGGGAAGGCATTTGCACTAGGTCACACAGCAAGTCAGAGGAAGAGCTGGCATTTCCTGTGCCAGGGTTCTTATGAAGGGCACGTGATGAGGGAGTGGGGTTGGAGGCAAAAGCCAGTAGTAGAAGTCTCTAAGTAAGGCCTTAGGCCACACCTGTTTCCTGGGCTGATCTGAAGAAACCAGATCCAGGTCTTGAGGAGCTCGAGCACCAACTGTCAAGGAAGTGAAACCAGCACCCCTTGGAGTAGATGCTGGAGAGATGTGGGGTCTAGTCCTCCTCCAGCCCTTACTAGCTTTGGGATGTTAGATGAGAGATCCCTTTATTCCCCTTGAGCCTTAGTGTCTTGCTTTTAGAATGAAGACATTTCAGCATTCAGTTAATTGATTCAACAGATATTCCGCTCCTCTCTCCTTGGGGTCCCCTCGCCTCTCCCATTCATGTCTCGAGTCTCTGGTGATTTTTCTCCTTCCCTCTCCTCCCAGTTCCCTCCTCTATGGCTTCCTGCTGTTCAGCCCGTCACCTGTACTCCTCTTCTCACTGTGTGTCCTCCCTAAAGAAGGAGAGTGTATGGGCAACACCCACATCACATGTACCATGAAGCAAAGTTTAGATCTTTTCTACACTTTAAAAGCATGCCAACAATTGATTTCTTTGTCTTAGAAACAAAAGAGAGAGAAAAAAACAGACGCACACAGATCCTGGCCAGAGTGGAGGTTATAGGCCTCTTGAGTGTTTGTGGTCCTCTGAGGATTTTCCTGGGGATGAGACCTTCAGTAGAGATGGGCTCCTGCTCAAGCCCAAGGGGCAGGGAAAGAAGAGGACTTTAAGTATTTCAGGTCCTACTTCCCTTTGCTCCTTTAGGAATTCACGGGGAAGGGTGGGTGTTGCATGAAAACCCCGGGGCTTCTCTTGGTCCTCCTTGGCATTTTGTCCCGGGTGCTGAGAAGAATCCAAACACAGACTGGCAGGGATTCATGATGCTGCTGCAGCTGGGACCTCCCCGCTACCCCAAGCACACAGCCAGGGGCAGGAGCCCAGTCCAGATGTGAGTACCCCATCAAACACCGAGGTGACGACATGGACTCTGGCCACCACCAGCCTGGCCACATCATGCCCAGGCCTCAGGGATGCAGGGGTCAGAGTGGCTGTGAGCTCAGTTAGAACACCAGCCGTGTGTCCACTTGGCCTTAATTTGGATAATTGCAAGTAGCAGATGGAAGTGGTGTCTACATCACTTTCGAGATACCTCTCAACCCAGAGGCCACCAGCAAGTGCTAAGGAAGGAATAAAAGAGAACCACACTCGAGCTACCTCAAGAGGTTGTTATCGGAAAAGTGGAATTAATGCACAGCCTCACTTTCCTTTCCAAGAGGACAGAATTTAGAAGCAGAAATATCTAGACTGGGGCCCTTACTCCACTCATCACCTGAGGAGCCAGTACTGGAGCCTGTGGCTAACAGTGTGACGTCATGCTTGTGACGTCACACATGGGTCTGTTCCTGCTTTATCATGAAAACCCCAGGGAGGTAGGAAAGCTTAGTCAATGGCCACCATCAAGGCTGCCATAGTGGGTGGGATGTCACGCCTCTGGTGGCTGCAGATGTGGTGGCCTGGGGACCCAAAGTCTCTCTCTCCTTCAGTGTTTGCTCTCTCTTTTCCATCTCTCCCTTGAGTGACTTCATTCCTTCATACACCTTCACAAATACCAAGGGCTGCCTTTGTGGGTTTAGAACTCACCTTGTTCCAAAAGTAATGTGCAGTGGTGGACAAAAATTTAGGTAACTTAACAAGATAAAAAATATATGAGGAAACTGAGATAAAGCAGGCGGTAGGGAGAAGAAAAGGAAAATAAAAATATTACAATAATAGTAGTAATAATACTATTAATAATAATAAAGTCTCTCTGTGTATAGACAAGCTCTACATGTGGTTACTTTTTATAAGTACCAAAGAGGAAAACTTTGAGCTTAAATATTTCCGTGATTCGGAAGAAAGAGCCAATGGGAGCATCTGAGTAATTTAATGAGATCTATTTTTCAAAGCAGCCGGATGCTGTCGGGTGCTGACTTGATGAGGCTGGTGAGACTGGATGCCCCACGTGGGGTTTGATGAGCCCTTTATATATCTTCCAGAATTAAATTCCAAAGCCAAAGATTTGGCACCAGCCTTTTCCCTTGAACCCAGTGGCATTTGCTATGCTGCTGGTTGCAGGGGCTCTGACCCTGGGGCAGTTCTGAGGGAGGAGATGAGGATGAGGAGGGAGTTTGGTAGAGTGGGGCTGTTTGTATTTCTAGGGTTGGTTGATGTTGACTGAGTGTGGTGGACAGGATATGGGGTCTCTGTCTCTAGTCTTCTCCTTCCAGCATCTCCCTGGTAAAACGCCCAGTCTGGTGTCCTTAAGCCAGTTGTTTTACCTGCTCTGTGCCTCTGCCTCGTCCTCCGTGTAATAAGGATAGCATGGCTCACTGCGTGGGGTTGTGAGGATTAAATGGTGTGACCCATGGCCCCTTCCTGATGGACAAGGTGGGGATTCTTGTCTTGAGCCTGGGTGGAGGGAATGGGAGTGGACAGCAGGCACAGGGAGGCTGGGAGGTGGGAGAGAAGCTTGTTAAGGCTGGAGAGGTGGACTGTGAGCACTATCACAGCAGGGACACTGCTTGTCCTGTTCCTTACTTGTTAAGCCCAAATCCAATGTGTGGCCGTTTTGTGGCACAACCCCAGGGGATGCCTTTTACTCCAGGGGGTGGCTTTTACTCCAGGGGATGCCTGGTACAAGGCTGCACAGTCACTGATAGCTCAACCAGTGCTTGCCAAATACATGGAAAATAGGAGCAGGGAGGTGAGTGAGACGGGGTAGGGATGGGCATGAAGAGCTGGACTCAGGAGGAATAGGGACTTTCTAAGTAGCCCTCCAAAATGAAACTGGCAACCTGGGAAAGAAAGGAGCGCCCCGTCACTGGGGGCAACCAAACATCTGTCAGGAGCGCTGGATGGGGAGGAAGGCTGACAGGCACAGGAGTCCTAGTTTGAACCGTTTCCCCATCTGTAGAATGAGCTTCCCAGCCCCTCCCTGTTTCCGTGGGACTGAGGACCATCTGGCATGTCCCGTCCACCTTTCCTTTCTGTGAATGCTGTGCCTGAGGTGTAGGGGACCAGGCCCCTTGGAGGGGCTTGTTCTTGAGGTGACCCAGCGATGCGGAGAGCATGGTGGACCGGCAGGAGGAGCTGGCACAGGATATTCACTCTGGGCCGTGAACAGTGCACCAGCTTGGCCCTTCTGGGTATAAATCACAGTGAGATGGACAGTTAACTTCAGACTCGGTAATTGTGTGTTCTTTTATGTTCTTAGCTAATGTTAATATTTTCCCTTTGGGTTTCTGCCCTGAGGTGATTTCACTTCTTTTCCCTCCAAAGTTTTGATAAATAACAGCTAAAAAGACAAAAAACAAAAACCAAAAAACTCAAAGAAAAACAAACTCCAAGCCAGCCTCTTGGGTGAGGCCCTGTTACATCA